TGCTCTCCGGTTTGTCTAAATGAGTTCATTCTTATTTCTAAAGTTTAAACTGTTTGTTTCAACAAGAGAGGGGCTTTGCTTTTAACATTAATGACACTGAAGGAAAGGAAAAGAATCCTTGAATATATTCTTTAAAAAAATTCTTATGCCATATTCAAGAGATTTTTGAGGTGTTTGTTTCTTTTTCCAGAACAAAGCCTGGAAACCCACTTTGTCAAGTGGATTGATTTTGTTAAGTGGTGGTAGTGAGGGATCTTTAAGATCAAACAATCTGTTTAAAAAAGCAACAGATTTCAAAGATGTGTAAAAATCCTAATAATTTCAATATAACCTTTATCTTTGATCTAAAAACAAAGATACAAGGATATTTGTAACCACAGGACCAGGAACAGAATTTACCATCTGAAAATATGCCTCTTTGGTATAAAAATTACTTTGGGCTGATTATGTTTTTAAAAAACAGCAGACACAGACAAAGTTCTGAAAACCTAGTAGAAGTTACCCATTTGTAAAGGAAATTGACATTTATAAGAGAAATCTCCATTTGTAGGGGTGCCTTCCTCTGAGCCAGGATGGACAAGACGACTAAATATCTAGAAACTCTTATCAATAAAGAAGGCAATGACTTAAATCTACATAAAAACTTTACCCTTGTTTACTGTGCTGACCTCATCTCAACAACAGAACGTTAAGGCTATTTTTCACGGGCAGAGAGCCAGCCAGGACCATGCACAAAAGAAAAAGTTTTGATCTGCCAATGGAAACTCATCCTGGTTCTTCCCCTTACCAGTCTTTAAACATTGATCCTCTCTGATTCTTTAAATCTTACTCTATACCCTGGATCCTGAAGACAGAGTTGAGAGCCTTCCTTCTGTCTCTCTCTCTTTTTTTTGTTTTTTTTTTTGAGAGGAAGATCAGCCCTGAGCTAATATCCATGCCAATCCTCCACTTTTTGCTGAGGAAGACCGGCCTTAAGCTAACATCTATTGCCAAACCTCCTCCTTTTTTTCCCCCCTTTTTCTCCCCAAAGCCCCAGTAGATAGTTGTATGTCATGGTTGCACATCCTTCTAGTTGCTGTACGTGGGATGCCACCTCAGCATGGCTGGACAAGCGGTGCGTCGGTGCGCGCCGGGGATCCGAACCCGGGCGGCCAGCAGCAGAGCGTGCACACTTAACCACTAAGACCTGGGGCTGGCCCCCCTTCCTTCTGTCTCTTTACCAATCAATTGGATAATAAACTTCCTTCCCTCAAAGACCAGTGTCCAACAGTTTTGGCCCAACATGCACAGAACTCTTACTCAGTAACAATACTAACTACTTTAGCAAAGTTTCCCATAGTAACCTTTAAAATACCAACAGATTCTGTCTTAAAATTTGCTCTTCATTTGTAGCAGAAAATGAAAGTGGAGAACACAGACCGGAATTTTTGTGCTCTTCTCATACAGTGCAATTAAACACATAAACGACAGGAATCGCTTCAGAGTTTAAAATAAATAAATAAATAAATAAATAAAAGCCTCAGAGTCATCTAGTTATCACGATAGGGACTTAAGGAAGAGATGACTGTCTAGACAATGGTGGACTGGAGACAGAGAAGTCATGGTGTTTACAAGGAAAAACTGGGTGAGGGGAAGCTCTTTTGGTTTACAGCATATTTACAATTAGGTAACTGTATTCTTAAACACTTTAACCTGAGTAACATTTATAAATATGTTCTGTGAAACCTGACAGCAACAAGTCATACTAAAATTCCATTGTTCAGTAATTGAGATTTCTCCAGTTTTTTTTCTAGTCAGCTCACATTTCAGGAGAGTTAGGAGCACCTGTTACCACACAAAGTGCACGATCTGCTTGCCGCAAGACAAAAGCCAATCGTCAAGAGGCAAGATGGTGGAAAAGAAAGGGTAGTTTATTACAGCTTGCTAGAAAGGGGGAAGATGGATGACTAATGTCTCAAAGAACCATCATAAGGGGGCACAAAATTTTACAGCATTTATATAGGCTATTGGGTTATAGGGGAGGGGATTAGGAATGTTGACCATCTAGTGTTACAGACTCAGAGTGCCACATCAGATCTTTCAGTTTTCATTGATGATGGCTATCAGCATAGATTCTCTGTTTGGGGGTCATCACATTCCTAAGGAACTCAAGAGAACAAAGTTATCATCTCATTGCAGCTGGGAAGTACATGCACAAACAGGGGTCGTAAAATCTACAGAGCAGTTAGATCTCCTGAAGGGTGCATATCCAGCTGAGTTAGTTAGTCAGAGGTCATTCAAAATAGAGTTTTTCTTTTCAACAATATGGCTTCCCTCATGTCAACCTTGTGCTGAGCCAGTATCACATGTAACACCAAGAAAAGTACATCCCAGCCCTTCAGATGCACTGTCAACAGGAGAGACTGGAAACAGGCTCCACTCTCTCAGCTTCTGCTCAGACAACTCTCTTACATTTTGTAGGTAAAACACACTGGATATAGAACCACTGGCTTCTGCCTCTCCAGAACACTCCCAGCTGTTCACAGCTTCAAGCAACAAGTTTATTGTGCACCAAGAGACTTGGAAGTGTGGCACTGCTCCTTGGGGACCAGGGTCTTCCAATCTTGCAAGAACAATGTTAGTGTATGCTCTCTGGTGGGACCAGGGACCCTCCCAGGCATTCAAGTCATTTAGATCAGTGGTTTGTCCTTGGCGCAGAGGTGACACACACTGTCACAATACTCAGTGATAAAAGTCCCTACTGCATCAATAAGTCAGTTTTGAAGCTCTCTTGCTGTGGCAAGACCTTTCAGTCAGTGTGGATGCAGCATTTCAGAACAGAAAATTATTTTCACTTGTCATGACATCTGGTTCCTACTCTTGGAAATCTTGAAATTGAGCAACAATTTTGTCCTTTCTTTTTCGACTCCCTTCTTTTTTTTGTGAAGAAGATCCACCCTGAGCTAACATCTATGCCAATCCTCCTCTTTTTGCTGAGGAAGACCAGCCTTGAGCTAACGTCTATTGCCAATACTCCTTTTTTTCCCTTTTTCTCCCCAAAGCCCCAGTAGATAGTTGCATGTCATAGTTGCACATCCTTCTAGTTGCTGTATGTGCGATGCCGTCTCACCATGGCTGGACAAGTGGTGTGTCGGTGCGTGCCCGGATCCCAACCGAGGCCGCCAGTAGCGGAGTGCACACACTTAACCACTAAGCCACGGGGCCAGCCCCCTGTGCTTTCTTACCAGAGTACTGGATAACTTTCTGATCTTCTCCACTTGATCTAGATTAACACTCACCTCACAGCAACTCAACTCTGAGCAATTCTTGGTAGGTGAGCTACTGCCAGTCCAGATCAATTTTAATGAAATCATTTTCTTAAAGAGATGGGTTCTAAATCCTCAAGTACCAGTTCCTTCATGTTAAATGGTAATGCTCCCATGAATAAAAATGGATGGGATTCTGGCACTGGTCCTATACACACTCCATTTTGACACTCCAGAGACACTGGTGGCTTGGACAGAATAGAAGAGAACAGTGAGTGACTGTGACTCACTGATGGCTGAAAAACAGGACCTGGTTTTGTGATTTCTGGTTTTCTGAATATGGCAGAAGGGGCAGACACATCCCACTTCTGAACCAGTGCCAAAGAGGTGTGGTCTCATGGAAAGCCTCCTAGCAGGGAGGTTCCCCAGTGGGGAGCAATGGTGGTGAGCCATCCACAGGGGGTAATTCAGGAGGTGTACAGAGGCCCCCATTCTACAGCTGGGGTGAATCCACTGCTTTGGAGGTATTGATAAAAGGGAAGGCTGGTTTGGCCAAATAGTTGGGAACAAAGGGCTGTTCTGACTCACTCAGTTAGAGGAGGATTTTGTCATAATCATCATTATCTTCCACTCCAATAGTCTTCCTGAATTCTCTCCTAGATGTTAATTGGACTGGCATTTCTCCTTTTGTGGTAAGAATCTCTTTGTCAACTCCTGATTTTATCAAGTAAAAGACCACTTGGCCATGATGGTATTTACATGCTTAGTGAATATAGGTCCAGCTGTTAACTTCATTTTGGGAGTACACATTCACCCCGCTCTCCACTACTGTCTGCACCTCTTGAAGGTCCCCCAAAGTCGAGGCCACCCACCTCTCTCCTGCTACTCCCGGCCTGCAGATCCAAACCTCCTTCAGTCCTGCAAATCTTGACTCAAATTTTGTAGAGTCACATAGCCTGCCCTAATTTATAATGCATACTTCTCTAAGAACAGTTTGTGTCTTTGCTATCCTAGATAATTCTATTCTTCATCCTAAGTTTGAAAATTATTTTTTTTAAGAGAGAAAAAGTGCATAAGGTAATAAAATCAGTGCTATACGATGTGTTCTACCATAAGGAAAAGGACTGAACACCAAAAGACCATCTCTCATAAGGATAACTGAGCCTAGACATGACCTTCTCTATAGGACACATCATGAAAACTCAGTGCTGTCCCCAGAGGGTTTTTGGAAGCTGAAAATTGAGACGTCAGTAGAACCAATTATCATTTTATTGAACAAAATCACCAAAACAAAACTGTTCCTTGAATTATTGGAAAAGCTCACATTATCTCAGTAAAAATAACAACCATTTATTCCTACATATAAGGCTCTTAGAAAAGTGTATTACAGTCAATAAAATTTAGTTTCTCAAAATGATTCTAAGAATTAGTTACAATCTATAGCATTAATATTTATTTTAAGAGATGGTTAGTAACTTATTCAAGAGATGGTAAATAACTTATTCAAGGCTACACAGTTTATAAATGAAGAGACTAGATATGACTTCAGAAACTCTGAGAACCAAAAATCTACTTTTGGAAAGATTTTATTTATACATATCCCGCTTTTACTCTGTGATAAATATGAGGTGCCACTGCTAAAGCAACACACTCTCAAGGATTCCTATTTAGGGATAGATCCCTATGCTCCATCCCAGATTACATGGATAGGGCTGACAAGTTTCGTTATAATGTACAGAACAATTAAACAGCTGCTTTACATTGAGTGACACAGTTTTGCGAAAGGATCTAAGAATTAAGTACAGTTTTAAATCTCAAATTGTATTTTAGGAAAAAGAAACAAGAATTTAGTCATCATTACACATCTTGTAAAAGAAGAGAGAGGATAGGAACTCAAACACTCTGTACACAAAATCTTCACTCTGAGTACATACACGGCTTATGTTTTCCTTCTTTGACTTTCTGATGACCCTGGTGTGTCCTGGGCAGCAAACAAACATACACTCAAAAACTCCTTAGCTGTTTCTAGTGGGTGGGGGGTGATTATGGGCTGACCTAGATAATGTGGATATTGGCAGACAGGCTTTGCAATATCTCTTCAGATCAATGATAAAGGAAAATGTGGAGAAATGGGAGGGCAAACATGTTATGTCAATACTGCTCTGTCTTTAGGAGGGCGACAATGTCTTTCTTTGAGAATACAAAAAAGGGTAAATGGTAAATAAGCATCTCTCCTGACTTGAACCAGATGCACTGCACATCCCAAAGATGATTAAAAATTCTAAAGCAAACAAGGGTTACAGCAAGGAAAAGATGATGTGAATGGTGCAGATGAGCTCAGGTATAGAGATGAAAACCAGGAGAAGGGGCACCAAAAGAAGTGGGTGAGAGAAAAAGTAGGTTCAAGAGCTTGGTGGGCACAGAGTCATGGGAGCTGGACAGTTCCAAGGATTGATATATGGATAAGCAGTCTGAGAAAAGTGACATTTAGAGAACTTGTAGATGAGTGACCCATGGTTGGTGACGTTGAAAAATGAGACAGTGCCTCCTTCATAGTCTAGGAAAACCCCAACACGACGGGGAGGAACAGCCATGGAGAGAGTCAAGACCTTGGGATCAGAGGTGGAAGAGTCCTCAAAGGCCTTGTACTCAGACTCATTCTGTAACCCTATAACCCAGTAGCCATATTGAGGTCTGTATCTGGAGTATACATTTGAATGATTTAAATTTGGGTCAAAAGTAAATCCAGAACTCTTTGTTCTATTAAAGCACCTTTTGTTACTGCATACCCCCAGGATCCAAGCAATCTTCCCAGACACATCTACTTCCCAATAATATTTGCCTGAGGAGAAACATTGGCAGCCCAATACATCAAAAGCAGAAAAATCACATGGATATACATTCCTAAACGTAAAAGGGTGCAAAATTTTCACTTGTCTCTGATCCGCAGATATGACAATATTTGAAATAGCGTTGACTGGATTCAGCATCACATCCACTGTAGGAAAAATTACAGGGTCAGTAAGGGATACAGGATAGTTGGGTCTTGTGACATTGTGGGGAGGAATATTCAGAGTTGACTGGGAGGAACATGTGGTGATGGGTCAGAGATGAGTAGGACACTTAAGAACTGTTGTATGTATGCATGTTTGGGGAAGAACACATGAACCTAACGTCATGGGACCTAATAGTAACTACAGCTTCTGAAGAGGGATTAGAACATGGAGATTTGAAGACCCTATAACTTCTTCTTACCCCAGTAGCATTGGACCTCTGTCAGCTCTGAAATGACAAAAGTTGCAATGATGTTGTTAGAAGCAAAGGAGTAAACACGGATACCTATCTTCTCTCCAGACTGAGGACTGGAGGGGGGAGGGGAGCCCTGTGAGGCTATGAACTGGTGAATGAGAGGACAAAGCAGACACCTGGCTATTCCCCCTTAGATCTGATCATCTTCACACAGGATCTCTCTCTCTTTGTCAGGCCTACCTCTTCTCTTTTACTCTCACCTAGAAACAATGTCCACTCCCCCATTTTGCCCTGATACTACAAGAATCCCACACTCACACCCTTCCCCTGGCTCTCCTCACCTTTAAATACTTGCAGCATCCCGCTCAGATCTGGAACTCGGAATGCACTTTTCTGTTTCTTGGAAACCATTTTTGGCTTTTTCAAGGTCCAGGTCTCACTCCTAGAGAAGACAAAAATTGATCATCCCACACTACTGACCTTGTGTCTCTCCAAGTTCATGGAGATACACTTGAATCTTCTTCACTGAGGTGCTTGAAGAGGAGAAAAGGGAGAGCCCTGACACTGCAACTAGAAGAAATATGTTCATGTCTACCATGCCATTTACTCTCTGTGTGATCTTGGGAAGGTCTTCACCCCAAAGAAACTCCATGTTACTTCTTCTAAAATGGAAAAGTTAACCCCAGACACTCTACCTGCTAAAAATATAAAAATGATATAAAAATAGATGAAATAATGGTGTCTTTAAAAGGTATTTGATGCCTCTAAAAGAAGTATTTGATACATGGATAAGTCACTGCTTTGTCAGGGGTTTCACAAGGGGAGGCCAGAGATGTGAGGTCGCAGGCAGATGGTCAGTAGAGAGTCTCCAGAACATGGCTACTGAGTGGTTTAGGTTATCCAGTGTCGGGCTCCTGTGTTGAAAGTCTGAAGAGTCTCCAAAACCTGTTATCCCAGGACAGATGCCCAGAAATTAACATTTGAGGGCACATTCTTTGGGGAACTATTACAAACATTTAGAAAAGAAGAAGTTATGATGACCACATTAATAGTGGTCTGAATTTCATGTGTTTGGGAAGACCTTGGTACTGGCAGGTGGGTAGTCAGCTTTAGACACAGGAAAACCATTTTTCCTACTAGATGTTGAAGTGTATAAACAAGAATGGATTAATTATTGGCACCAGGACCAAAGCCACTATTCCCACAGACTTGAGCCTATTTTTTTTGGAAATCCAAAGAAAACCACCTTCAAAGACCCTGTTTTTTCCGTTTTCAGGAAGAAAAGTAAATATAAAGGAGCTGTTCTTGTGGCAAATTTGGGGGCCTGGAAGATAAAGTGGACAGGTTCCTCCCTGAGATAAGATACACATCTAAAAAATATGGAAACAAGAGCTGAGGCAGACTGAGGTTTGGCTAAAATGAGTGAAGTCATGGAGTTCTGATACGGCAACCCCTCATTTCTAATGCCTCTGTTGGCCTTAATTCTGTGACCTCCCACCACCCAAATTCCCTACCATTGACAACTTTCATCTGTGATCATCAATTTGGAACAATATCATACCCAAATTTCCCAGCTCTGTGATTTTTTTTAAATTTTGATTGATCTCACAATAATACTCATGGCTACAATTCTGTCTTCACACAAAAATAGACCATACCTGGTCTCACACACATACCTTCTTATGAGGTTAATCACATCCTAGGAGAAGAGAGAAAACATGTGTCAAGGATAGAATTGCAAGATTTACGAAATACAAATGGCTACTGAAATTTTAATTTTGGATAAATAAGAAATACGTTTTAGTATAAGCATGACCTCTACAATACACAAGATATCCTTCTACTAAAAAATGATGTGTCATTTATCTGAAATTCAAATTTAAGTACACATCCCATATTTTTCCTGGAAACCCTTGAAGGAGTGAGAAGTTCTCCTACCTTACAAAGTTTTAAGCAACTTCCCCCTCACACCACTAGCACCCTTTGACTTGATTTGAATAAATCGATGGTCAGAATATGGGGGAAAAAATGTAGAGATAAGACACAGACCACCCATCCTTGAGGACTCAAGTGAGGATGTTAGGAAGATTCTTCAATTATGTGGAGATGGGATATATTTAAAAGGAAGAGAAGTGGCCTACTACTGTTTCAACTACATTTATGAGAAGACTTCACTAATTCATTATGCTTTTATTTATTCTAGAGACAAATACAGGTGAAATCTACTATTTGCCAGACATCATTCCGGGCTCTGGGGAATCAAAGACGAATAATTCATAATAGTGCTCAGGAAGTATACGTTCTTTTGCTGCAGGTACAAGCAAACAAGCACTTCTAAGTAGATGTTTCTCTGGCCTCCCTTTACTCACTCTACATATGTCCTGCACACTACCTATGGGTGAGCTCATCAATTTTTAAGTATGAAAGAAGCCACAGGAACCAGCACCTAAGAAGGTCTAAAATGTAACATATTATTTCCCAACTATTTACAGGCCAGTTGTCTAGAAGGTTACTAATATCCCCTGGGTCACTGTCTTAGTAACTATAGTATCTCACTCTGAATTCCAACATTGAATCAAGCAGTCTAATCCATATCCCCAACTTCTTTTAGCCATCTTCTCTTCCCAATCTTAACCATTATATGCTTTATTTTTTTGAACAGAAATCTGTCAATATATTTGGTTTTCCCATCTCCAGCCTAACCCCTTTTACACCAAAGACTTGCCTACCACTTGACTCTACATGCTCAGAAAAAGTTTTATTTTCTGTAATAGGCTATTTTGCTGTTATTGTATATGACAAAAACCCAACTAAAACTGACTTAAATTTAAAAGGAAAAAGAAGAAATACAGGGGGCAGGTATGACTTCAGTCACAGCTATGCTTTTAAGTGAAAATATTGTCATCAGAGTCTGTTCTTTCCTCTCAGAACTTTATTTTCTACCTGCTATGTTGAATTTCTTTTCAGACTCTATATGGCATCAATTTGAATGTCTTGGTTTAAATGATAACCCTGATATATTACCTCGCAGAAAAAAGAATTTCTCTTTCTAGTCATGACAGTAAAATTCTAAGGTATACAAATCATTGACCTGAATTGGGTCAATGATTAAATCATTAAAATAATTACTGCATCATTGGTAAACATATAGGAATCAGATATGCTGATTTACCTAGAATTGAGAGACATATACATTCCTGATACTATTGATTTTATCAACCTTAACCAATTACATGGACCGAGGGTTGAGATGGTTTTCCAAAGGGTAATCCAAGACGTTGTTAACAAAAAAACCAGATATTTGAATTGGGCTTGGACAGACAAAGTCCCATGCAGTCCATCCCTTACTTCCTCACTCTATTTACCAAACTATTTTTTTTAAATGGTTAAATATATTACAAAGTTTACAGTGACCTTAAAAATGTATGACTTACATCATATATAATTTATAACTTAAAATCAATTAAAGATCTAAAACTATAAAATTGTTAGTAGGAAACATAGGGTAAATTCTTCATGATATTGGATTTGGTAATAATTTCTTGGATACAAAACAAAAAAGGACAGGCGATAAAAGAAAACTAGATAAATTGGACCTCATCAAATGTAAAAACGTGTGTTCATCAAAGGACTCTCTGAAGAGAGTGAAGAGACAATGCACAGAAAGGGAGAAAATATTTGCAAATCATATATCTGATAAGGTATTAATATACAGACTATACAAAGAACTCCTACAACTCAACAACAAAAAACAAACAACCCAATTCAAAGAATGGGGAAAGGATTTGAACAGATATTGCACCAAAAAGATATATAAATGTCCAATAAACATACGAAAAGATGCTCAGCATTCTTGGGTAATGCTGGGAATGTAGGGAAATGTAAATCAAAACAACAATGAGTACCACTTTACACTCTTTAGGATGGCAAAAAAACTCATGAAAAGTAATGTGTTTCTGAGGATATGCAGAAACTGGCACCCTTGTACATTGCCGCTATAAATGTAAAATGATGTGGCCACTATAGAAAATGGTTTGGTGGCTCCTCAAAAAGCTAAACAGTTACCATTATGATCCATAAATTCCACACCAAGGTACATACCAAAAGGAATTGAAAGCAGGGACTCAAACAGATGATTTTATGCCAATGTTCATTGCAGCATTATTCACAACAGCCTAAAGGTAGAAACAGCCCGTGTCCGTCAACAGATGAATAGATAAGTAAAATGTAGTGTATACACAAAATGAAATATTATTCAGCCATAAAAAGGAATGAAGTTCTGATACATGCTACAGCATAGATGAAGCTTAAAAACATTATGTTAAATGAAATAGGCCAGACACAAAAGGAGCAGTATTGTGTGATTTCACTTATAGATGTACCTTAGAATAGGCAAATTCATATAGGCAGAAAGTGGATTCGAGGTTATTCAGAACTGGGGTCAGGGAAAATGGAGAATTATTGCTTAATTGTTACAGAGTTCTTGTTTGCGTTGACGAAAGAATTTTAGAAATAAGTGGTGGTGAGTCTTGCACAACACTGTAAATGTAATTAATGTTTCTGAACTGTACACTTTAAAATGGTTAAAGTGACAAATTTTATGTTATATGTTTTATCTCAATTGTTTTAAATTTAATAATGCAATATACCAAACACCATTGAATTTTATTCTTTAAATGAATGAATTGTATGATATGTGAATTATGTCTCAATAAAGCTGCTAAAAGAAATGGATGTGAGCCCTTTTCTAGGGTAGAAGATCTAAACTGTCATCTACTACTCAAATCTACTTTTAAGCCCAGCATTTCTGTCATTTTCATCCTTATCAGTCTAAGGTAGATCTCACGGTTTAGCAAGAAATGTATATATGATAAAATGATCCATTCTAAACCTTGTCAAAATATAGTCCAGATACAGAGAAACTGTCATCTGAACTGCTGGTTGGCAAAGCTGTGGAGGGTAAAGACCACAAGCCTTTCACACATTATAACAATTTGAAGAAGAATAGCCCAAACTCAGAAAGTTTCTTGATTGGCCCACACAGCTACCCCAGATCTATTCTTATCAGCAGTGGTGCGTGGTCCCAACCAAGAGGAAAATCGTAGAGAATTTCCGATATGTATGGACATACAGATTGCATATTCAAGTCTGTATATTGCCTCAGGAACGGAACAATCACAAGCATCATTTCCCACGATTGTGATTGACTTTCCCAACTACTTCCTTAAAATGATATGTGATTTTGCTTTTTTTATGGTCAATTGTATGACCTAGTAACAAAAACTAGAGATCTCTTCTAGTCCTACAGATTTATATCTAAGAGTTTAGTTTATTTGTTAGCATGTGGACATTATCCTTGAGTTAATTCAAAACAGGTTATCAGCTCCTTTCCCTAATCTGCATTCCAATGAATAGACATTAATAGTGATATTCTTGTGCCCTATCTCAGGTGGGAAATTTACACCTGACCTATGACTGCTGTCTCAGTCTCTGGCTCTTCATTAGTCCCAGTCATAAATCATGCTTTGCTTTCATCCTCTCTGACTTTGCCGCCAATAACTTTACCCGAGAATAGAAAAGCTGGACTTTGTTGCAAAAAGAATGAGCCTCTCTTAGCAACTTGAACTGAAATTCCTCAGTCCTATAGGTCATTACTAAAGGCTAAACAAAACAGCCACATACAAAGTCAACAGTCCCACTATATAAGAAGTGACTGTGTAAGAATCGCCTCACTTCCATCTTCCGTTTGTAACCCAACAAATACAGAGAATTATTTACATATTACTCAGCATTCTGTTTATTTCAAAGGACTAAATACAAAATCAAACAGGCTTGATTAGAAAAAGATGGAAGTAGATTGTGCCAAAACACATAAATGAAATATGCAATAATCTATCTGGCTCCAGAAATAACCGGTCTGATGAACTCAAAGGATCACAGATTTTTGCTGTTTCTGAGCTTATACTTTTTCTGAGTTAGTGTCATTCCCAGGTTTCACTTGTCATCCCTAGACAACTGAGTGTTACTTCTGGTTATCTAGGTTAGAATGGGAAAAACATCATATACATAAACATAAAATAGAGAATGATGAAAAGAATAAGAAAACAAGAATTTATTAGATCAGATAAGAAGCAACTGAAAAAGAAAAGAAAAAAATGAAGGAAACAAAAGAAATTAAAATGTCCAGATTGGAAAATAAGTAAAACTGGATTTATTTACAGATGACATGACCCAGTATGTAGAAAATCTCAAGGAACACACACACACGCTACTAAAACTAGCAAAACAGTTTAGCAATATTGTGAGATACAAGATCCATATAAAAATCTATTGTATTTTCGATTACTAGTAGTGAAAAATGCAATAAGAAATTAAGACATTTACTTAGAATCCAAAAGAGTCAACTCAAAAATTGAAGAAAATAAGTAAATGACTTTTGTGCTGAAAACTACAAAATACTGCTGATAAAGTTTAAAGAAAACCTAAATAAATGGAGAGATTTATTTGTTAAAATGACAATACTCCTCAAATTGTTCTTTAAATTCCATATAATGCCTATCAAAATCCCAGAAGGCTTTTTAATAAAATTTAACAAGATTTCTCATAATTTTCATGGACAATTCAAAGGACCCAGGGCAGAGTTTGTCAACTTTAGCACTACTGGCATTCCGGCCCAGGTAATTCTTTGTCATGGGTCTACCCTGAGCATTGTAGGAGAATTAGCAGCATTTCTGGCCTCTACCCACTAGATGGCAGTAGCACTCTCCAAATGTTCCCTGGGGCAGAGGCGGTTACAATTGTCCCCATAGAGAAGAACTAACTTGGAAGAGTTACTTTGAAATATAATCGTTTCAAATTTTTTTCAAACAATTTTGGAAAAGAAGAACAAAGTTGGAAGACTAATGCTACCCAACTTCAAAATTTTCTATGAAGCCACAGTAATCAAAAGATCAGAGCATTAGTGCAAAAATATAGATCCATATCACAGATTGACAATCCAGAAATAAATCCCCATATTTAGAGCAAACTGATATTTAACAATGGTGCCAAAATAATTCAGTGGAGGAATGGAGAGTCTTTCCAACAAATGTTGAACTTAATTTGTTTATAGTTTAACAATTCAATAAATTGACTAAAAATCCTTAAATTGTACACTTAACAGGGGTGGATTTTATGATATGTAAATTATACCTCAAGAAATATTGTTTTTTTGTAAGGCAGGGGTAAAGATCCAGCAGATGAAAATTGATTACCGCAGTATTGGAACAAAAGTTAAGTAAAGAAATTCTTGTTCAGCTAACAAAGGAGAATGGCAAGAAGTGAAACAGAGAAAATTTGAAATTTCCTGAATTTCCTGACGTACTTCATAGCTCAAGATCACAGTCACACTGCCAACACCACAGAAAAAAAGTTTAACATTCATACTAGGTACAATTCCTCCATCAAGTCTCTGTAGGTTTGCCCCCACATCCTTCCCCAGCCAACAAAAACACACAAACATACATGCACACACACACACACTCATACACAGAAGCACACACACATAATCATACATGCACATTCCTCACTCAGATATGACAGAGTCTAGTCTTACATTTGTCACTCCTCAACAACAACAACAACAAAAATCAAACATAAACAAAGATTCCCGTAGTTTGCTAGTAACTAAGCTTAGCGAGGAGAGGCCTTACAAATGCTAGCTAATGGGAGCTTATAAAGAATCTTCTCCCCAAATTCTTACACACCCTTTTATAAATCAAAAACAATGGGAATTTCCCTTACCATTTGTACATTGAATTATTCCCATGATCCTTGAAATGAATGACAGAGAAGGGGCACTGAGGGGCCAAAGGAACATTTTAATGTCACCAGGAGGAAGAAAGCACAGGGACCCAGAAGAGAAGAAATGTTAAGCCTCTGTGTTTTCCACTGAATCTCACATGTAGGAGCTCCATTCTAAATCTTACCCTCAGTGTATCTATTGATGATCCCCACATCTGACGCTCGAGATCTGAGATAAGCTCTCTCATGTACTGACTCTGCTGGACCAGCTGGTCTTTTGCCGCTACCAAGTTCTCCAGCACATTCACCTCGTCTTCCTCCAGCTTTTGTAGCTCCTTCTGTTCCAGACTGTCCAGGATGCATCTCATTTCATTAAACCCTTTCAGAATCCTCTGTCTCTCAGTCTGCATATGGTTCTTTAGGAATGAACAGAGAAAGAGGCTGTCATTCTGTCTGGATGAGGGCCTAATTTGTGTGGGCCTGGGAGCCAAGATAAGAACCATTTTCTTCTGGGAGTTCTCAAAGGGATAGGACATGAAATCAGTGAGCAATTCCTGGGAAAGCACTTTTCCTGCTATTCTCACTTGAGCTCCTCCCAAAGCAATATATTCAAGTTTACTCTATCAAGGCCCACCCTGAGACACAATGTGGTACCTGGAGGAGGCTTGGATTGCAGACGCCTGTCCTGGATAATCATGCTACACTGTGTATTAAACCCCTCCACTCTTATTTCCTAAACACAGAACCCGGGGCCTATCTCAATGTGTTTTCTGGAAGTATCAGAGCCTCAAACTTGATGATGGAAAGGGGATAAGGGATTCATAAGTCGTTTTTTTCGTTGCTTCCCTCTATGCTTTTGCCTCCAACATGGATTCCCTTATGATATGTCTGCTCTCTAGCCACCAACATACAACAAGGAAGGAATGAATTGAGGACTAATCAAATGTCCTTCAGACTCCTTAATTCTGAGGTAACGAAGAGAAAGGAGCCTGCTTGTGATGGGATGAAGGTGCTGCCCAGTTTCCTGTCTCAGAACTCCCTCGGGAAAAATCTTTTCCTGCCTTCCAAGTAGCTCTCTCTTCTCTGATGTCAGCTTCCAGCTCCGCAGCTTCCTGCTGCTCCTTCCTCAGCTTCTTCAGAGCTTCCTGGAGCTTCTCCTGTGAGAAAGGAACCATCAGAATCAAGCTATGAGCTTTCTCAGCCTCTGGGTAAATGAGGAAGAAATCAGGCTTATCTCAGAAGAGACGGAAGTTTACAGAAAGGAAACTGGCAAGTAGAATCTAGGATATAGACAAAAACCTGGGAGTGGGGGGGATGTATTCTTTAACCCTGGGAGATGCAAGTTATGATCCCTTCATGAAGAATAGCCTGCATGTCTCTTTCCCTAGAAGAAGAACTGATCCTGGAACAAGGAAAGTCCTTTTCTCTCTTTGACACTTTCCCACATCCAACCAACCATGTTCCCAAAAAACCCTTCTGCTCAGAGGAAAGTCAGAACTTATCTTGGGAAGCAATTCTCCGCTCATCCAGCTTCTCTTTGCTAAGAGTTTGTAGTCTTGGCTTATTCTGAAGCAAATGAACAAATGCACAGAAATGTCCTTCAAGCCTCAGAGCTGAGCAAAGGGTATGGAAAGATTGCAGGGCTCAGTTCTATGATGACAAGGGTAATAAAGTAGGATAAAAAAGCAAAAATTTCACTTTAGATACCATTTCTGCCCTATCTTCCTCCACTCTGGTGCCTACCTGGATTTTCATGACCACCTCCTCCATGCAGAATATTTGGTGACCCTGGTGCTCCCGAGACAGCACACAAAGCCTGCAAATGGCCTGCTCCTCGTCCTTACAGAACATATGAAGTTTTTCTCCATGGTGTTCACAGAATTCTTTCTTCTGCTGCTTGCGTGGGTTCGTGTTGATCTCCCTGACTCTCTCCACTATGGTGGCCAGGTGCCGATTAGGCTGGAGGGTCCCAGGCTGGTATCTGCTCTGGCACACAGGACAGCTGCATTCCCCTCCTGGGTGGATCACTGACTCCTTGTTCTTTGCAGTGATGCAGGCTTTGCAGAAGCTGTGGCCACAGCCTAGACTCAGGGGTTCTGTCAGGAGCTCCAGGCAGATGGGGCAGGTCACTTCCTTCTGTAGATTTACCTGTGCTTGTAAATCCATTGCAATGTTCCCCTCGCTTCTTCCTGTCCTGAGTCCTGAGGCTCTTCTTGCTCACAGTCTCCTGCAGGGCTGGGAATGTTGAAGGGGGCAGGATAAGACAGGCAGGAATAGAAAGGATATTGATTGTACAGAGATTTAGAACGGGACAAACATTAATATTCAACAAAGAAAGGAAAAGAGAGAGACAAGAGAAATAGGTCAGTGACAGAATGAAGAGGGCTTTTTGTCATAATTTCAAACACTTTACTTTTAGTTTATGTTGCATGACAAATTTTACCCCATTAGGGCAATGATTGCTAGTTTCTCTTCTACTGGAGAGAAGGACAAATTGAGGTCCTTCCTACCAAGAACCTTGTATAACACATCATTTGTCCCCCTTTTCTTCCTCAGCCCAAAACTCATGCTCCATGTTAGATACACTGAACCCTGGGCCTTTGCACTTGCTCTTCTCTCGGCAGGGAATGATCCTACCCCTGATATTTGCGTGACTCACTTTTTAAAAACAGTTTTATTGAGTTACATTTACATCAAGTGCATTTGTTTGAAGAGTATAGTACAAAAATTTCTAGTCAATTTATGGAACTGTATAACTATCATCACAATCCCATTTTAGAGCAATTCCATCACTTGAAAACAAACCGAATGCCATTGGCAATCACTCCCTGCTGAGTGAGCCTCAGGCAACCACTAATCTCCTTTGTGTTTATATAGATTTGCATTTTCACATCAATTCATAAAACAGAGTCATAATCCATTGACTTTTGAGTCTGAGTTCCTTCACTCGGCATACTGCTATTGAGGCGCATCTATCCTGCCTTTCTTTCCCAGGCCAAAAACACATCCTCAACGTTGAAAGCACAAAACCCACTTCTGACTCAGAGTGCGTGCACTTGCTTGTCTCTCTGCGTGGAAGGATTCTCCCTCTGATGTCAGCATGACTGGCTATTACATTTCGCTGAGTCTCCTCTTACACATTATCTTGACAGAAGGACCTGCTCTAACTTACCAAAGCAAAACTACTGATACTATCACTTGCTGTACATTTGCCATGTCTCTAATTTTTACTTTAGTATATCTAACATCTTTCTTTAAATGCCTACTTCTTCCTCCTAAGAAGTAATCCATGCATGGATCAGGCATGGCTTTGTTCACTGTGTATCCTCAGTACCTGGAACAGTGCTTCACACACAGGAACACAGTGTTGGATGAACATGTAAAGCTAGAAACTTCTCATCTCTCCATAGATGATTAGACCTTTCTCATCAGCTTCTCATTTTTTCTTTCCATCAATTAGCAGTTCTCCAATGGCTGAGAAATGTTTGCATTCTAACATACCTGTCCCACACAAAGCCTTCCCCTGCCCTCAAACTCATTCCCCAGAGACACCTACGGAACTGCAAAAAACGTAACAGGGAGGTAATTTTCTCACTAACAATTTTATAACAGTTACAACTTAGAAATCACTTTGCCCTGTTTATTCCTTATATAAAAATCCTTGACAAATGAGAATACTCCCTTTCTTCAGATGTGTAAATAGAATCAAGTGACTTACAGATCATTCTATTTACAGAGATAATTCCATTATAACAGGTAGAGTTGAGGTGAACATATCATCCTTGGGATCCTCCTTCAGAGTTCTTTCCACTACTGCACAGATTTTAATGAAGACAAAGAGAGGTAAAGTTTGCAAATAGTAGATTGATACCCAGTGCTATGGGGGTGTAGAAATGCAGAGATCAAGGCCAGCTAGGTGGTTCTGGGGATTTTGGTATTTGTAGATGTTGGACTTTTATCTTGGCCTGGACATAAGGCAAGGGTGTTGATAGGCACATAAAGGTGTATGTGTTTAGGGGGGAAAGAACAGGTTCATATACTCATAAGATCATACATTTGACAGAGACCTGGGAAACAAATTCTAATGAGTCATCTGTTAGTCTTGGGATCAAAGGGATCCTGTTTCAAACACACTGAGTGCTACTACAGGTTGAATTGTGTTCTCCAAAAAGATGCTGAAGTCCTAACCCCATATATGTGTGAATGTAACTTTATTTGGAAATCATATCTTTTCAGATGATCAAGTTAAAATGAAGTCATTAGGGTGGGCCTAAATTCAACCTGACTGTGTACTTATAAAGATGGAAAATTTGGACACAGACAGACATGCACACATGGAAAATCCATGTAAAGACAAAGGCAGAAATCAGGGTGATGCATCTACAAATCAAGGAATGCCAAAGATTTCCAGCTAACTATCAGAAGCTAGCAGAGAGACGTGGAACAGATCCTTCCCACACAACCTTCAGAAAGAACCAACCCTGCCAACACCTGTGATCTTGTATTTCTAGCCTCCAGAATCGTGAGAAAATAAATTTTATTTAACTCGTCCATTTGTGGTACATTTTTTATGGCATCCCTAGAAAATAACACCAGTACTTATTTTTCCTTTATTCATTCATTCCTTATTCTATCATTGAAGAAGCAATATACCATTGAAATTCTCCCCACCTAAGACAGACAGACAAACAGACAGATACATACAGAGATAAGATATATGCTCCCCTCTGGAGATGGAGCAATGTAGGAGTTTTTACAGTAAGGTAAGGACCAACTAGGTCCTGAGTTTCCTTATCTCACTATATCCTGATGGTCTGCACAGAGGCTTTCTGTATCTGTACAGTTTAGACAAGAAAAAGGAAAGTATCTCCACAATAAGGAGAATAAGTCCTATGAGGGGTTGAGCCAACATTCTTGAAACTTCCCCTGTTCCCTGGATCAGGAATTGCCAATGGGAAAGTGGACTTGTCCTTGGCATCCAGAGACTTGAGGAAACTCAGAAACAGTGCAACTCCTCTCCATCCCTCTACGCTCAGAGCTCCCTCTTCAACCACCTCTTAGAGATCAGGGTTTAACTTGCCCCACATTAATTACCCTCTCCCCAAACACTCTAGCTCCCAGGTCAACTAGTTTCAAAGAAATCATTTGATAACAGAGGCCATCTTCATAAAGCTACCCCTGGTCTCATCCCTTTTTCTCACTGTCAGTTCATCAGAATATACTCTATCTCTCACTTCAAATTACAGAGTCTTTCACCCAGATTCCAAGAATGGTTTCCCCACTGGTCTCCCTGATACTGCCATTGGTCTCACAAAGTCTCTTTTCATCACTGTTCACACTAACAGCTAGAATGATTTTTAAAAGTATACATCAATCTTGTCACTACTCTGCTCAATCGCACGTCATTTAGCTTGAGTCCATCTTTTTCGTGGTCTAGTTAGGGGCACATAACACATCCCCTGCTATGGCCTCATCCCTCTCTGCCCACCTCCTACTCTTGTGGAACCCACACCGGCTGTTTTTATGCTCCTTAATCACTCTGGACAAAAATCCATCTTAAATTCATCATTTCCTTGAATATGCTGCTCAAAATCACCTGTCCATGCTAAGACTTAACCTGAAATCTATTTAAAATTTCAAAGCTCTTTTCCAGGGCACATAGATTCTGTCTCCATTACAGCCCTTTTGGTATATTATTGTTATTTCTTTGTTGTACATTTGTACCATAGTGAGTTTCATCTTTTAACACACTACATGACACTTTTAACCCTTGTTTTCTTTCTCCTGACTCAGAATATAATATTTTGTAGGTACTTCATATTTATTTTATGTTCAGTAGATGTTAACACAATTTTTTTCACTATAGCTGTATGCTTTTGTTCTTGTGAATTTAAGCAGAAATATTAAAAATTAAAAAAAAAATTCATTTCCTCCTGTTTATTGAGCCCTGTACTAGAACTGAGTAGACAATTAACATATACCATCTGTGAACCTTGTCCAAGTGTAAGGCACAGACTCACGACCTCTGAAAAGTGCAAGGAAATAAGGCACACTTGAAAACATATGTAACACAGAAATCAAGGAACAAAGTATTCACAGGTGAGATTAAGATGGGGTTCTTTGGAGAAATAACCAACTCCTTGTCTTTGTGCAAGGGAAAATTGAGTAAGGAGTTGAGGTAATAAGCAATGGAAAGGTGTGTCTAAGATGATGAGGAACAAGTTCTAAAGCAAGACCTCTCACCAGAAGGTCATGAGGCACTACTGAAGTAAGAGTAAACCCTTGCACTCAGCAGAGAACAAATTCCCTGTGCCTGGAACTCCAGAGATAAGTGACCACAGAGGAGCTGCAGAGATAGGTAGCATCTGATAAGGCAGCCTCTCTCATTAGGCCAACCCAAGGGCTGGTAATTCATCAGGATGTTTGTGGATAGCTTCCTAGAAGCTACTAGGAACAGAGGAAAAGGATAATCTTCAATAAGGTCTTATCCCTGACGGAGCTCCTAAGATCTCTTCCCTCTATCATGAGTCCATATAAGGGCTCTTATGTCTGCTGGCTCTCACCAGGAGCTTGGGCTTTTATGAAGAGGGAAAACAGGGCTCCATCCTCACAGCCTTTTCTGGAGAAAGGAGGAAGGAGTTCTCTGCCTCTGAAATAAAAGAGTATTCTGGCTCATCTTGTCAAGGTAGAAAGTCAAAACTACAGAATAGGAAGAAGGTGAAGGTAACAGTCTGGAGAAATAATGGTCCCTCCAAGAAACAAATGACATTCTTTGCCTTTTTAACCCTTCCTATTTTAAAGGTCACTCCTCCCCCAGACTCAATGCTCTCTTTCTCTGCCACTTTAGCAGAAAACCTGTAAGCTGGCTCTTTTTGTTAATTCAGAGCAGCTTTAGAACCAATAAACTCACCCAAACACATTCATTCTATTCTCAAAGACTGCTGCCCTTTGCCCTCACAAGGTACCTTACACACCTTCAGGAGAAGTGGAGGAGTCTTGACTCCGTGGAGATCAGGTGCAGGTGTGGTCAAGATTCATTCACGAAGCCAGACAGATGCTTGTTCTAGAAGAGGAGTTTCCCCACAGGAGCTGGGTGAGAAACGAAAGTTAAGTTCTTAGAAGTAGAAATGAAACAAAGGAAACAGAACAGAAACTTAAAAACAATGGGAGGACACCAGAAGAGAGTCATGTTTCAGCATGTTCTAGGGCCTGCACC